ATTTTTTAGATGATTTTTTGTTTGTAAACGCCAAGTTTTCTTTAAATATTTTATTTATTAAAATAAACTCATTTTCGTTCACTTCACTTTGAGTTTACAGTCTATAACAGCATGTACACAACAACAGCTCTTCTTATTAACGCCTACCGAATAATTTAATGGATCCCGTTAAGTGTCCTGTCAGCACACTGTACCGCCTTAATCCTCGTACGCAATAATCAACCGGCTCGTGTTTAGTCAACTCGCACTATAACTGCGCGTATTCAGTTTAAAATAACGACTAAATTGTGTACGAAACGACGATCCAACGAAGTCTACGATCAGCCAACAAACACATTTGCATTTCACAATTGCTGCACACATACCGCCTCTTCGTATTGTAGGTGTTTGTGTTTATGTTTATATTTGAGGAAAGCACTCTAGAAAGCTGCAGATCTTTAAATTAAATCTCTCTAGAATTTGAAACATGCTAAGCTTCTAATAAATACTCTTATTTGCTTATCTAACATACTCGCAACGGCTTAATTATGTTCGTGTCTGTCTTTATTAGCATTTATGTAAAAGATAACAGTTGTTCTTTCAATCTGATGTGGATAGTTTTTTTACAAGAGCACTGAGGTAAAGTTGGTACTTTGTTTGAACTTGATTTACCACATCAAATATGATGGTTTCTTACATAAGTCTCTATATAAGTAAGCATAAATCTGTACTTGAAACAAGATGTGACGAGATTAAATAAACACAGAAATGCACAATAAGTTAAAGCAAGAAAAAAAGTTAAATCCCAGTGAAGTGCAGCTATAATACCCTTCACAACTTCAAGTTTTCCTTACAAGAACTTGATTTTGATTGATCAAAATATCAAATACTTTATTCCTAAATAAACTTCGACGGTAGAAGACAAAACGAATCAAGGCTCAGCAATTCACTTAATTCTCCTCATTTATCAGCCTGTAATTTCTTCCTGTTGTCTAAACTTAAGTAATGTTCCGGCTGAGGTGTATAACAGGCGTTTAGCAAACCGGTGTAACCGTTGTAATGATTATTATTGACTCAATACCAGTCTACGAAATAGAAAATGATAATACAAAGAATCCGTTGTTTTTGTCTCGGCGATAATCTCTTCGAAATTCTGAGTTTATTTTTGGTATAACAAAGTGTTTCATTCTAACACACTGGCCCATCATACATATGTTATATTTACTTAAAGTAAGAGAGACGCGCGAATTAAATGGGTCTGATAGTGAACGAGGGAAGACGAAGCATCTCATGTCATCAAACAAATAGTCGTTGCATACGCGACTTGGCTCCCACGTCACTGTTGACAGTCTAAACTTCAAAGTCGTAGATAACTTCGTCTATATTGGAACCAGTTAACACCGACAACAACGTCAGCCTCGAAATCCCACGCAGAATAACTCTTGCCAACAGGTGCTACTTCGGACTGAGTAAGCAATGGAGAAGTAAAGTCTTCTCTTGACGGGCAAAGACCAAATTCTACATCCCACTAAAAACAGAGCATTACCTTGACGTTATAATTATTAAGCTGTGCCGTTGTGTCGACTGGTTGACCGTAAGATTTTTAAGGTTGTCGTAATGAATCCATTTTTCAGGACCGGTCATAATCTGTTGCAAAAACGACTTATTTTTGTAGCGTTCAAGCAGCATTTCTGACATGCCTTTCAACTTCTTCTTGGCTTCTATTCATTTGACACCCAATGTCTTTGCAGTTGAATGTATCAGACTGCTTTTAAGCATTTTGAAATGGTTTCTTGTATAACTCTCAAAAATTCTGAGAACTCTTTCTGTATTTGCAGCAATTTTCATCGGGTACCGCTTCCAACATCTCATCTTCAAACTAGGACGTACTGTCTTCCAAGCCCACAACCACCACGCATGCTGGTTCGGATTATTGCAATAATGAAAAATAATAATGAAGTTACGCCATTTCTTAGCAAACTGCACGAATATAGTTAAAGACCCAATAAAAGTATTCGAAGATCTTTAGTTAGAAAACCAATAGGATTTTTTAATTAAAACTATCACTTGGGATTTTATAATATAAAAAGCTATATTTTAGGGTCTAGAACCTCCCAGTTTTTATTGTGGTAGTGGCAGTAAAAATTCCTGAAGTAATTTCGAGGATTAGTGCCGAGTTGACAGCCCTTGACCGGATAATAATCCGGGTCCGTTCTGGTTACTTAGACTCGACTGTCGTGGGAATGCTAAAACTCCCTTCAACTGATTTAGGTGGCGTTTCTGTATGAAAATAGCATTACATAATTATAACGTTGGAAGCTTTTTTTGAAAAAAAGCATAACTTCGAAATAATCTTTAACTTAAGATTAGATAATCGAGTGTTCTTTCCGTTTTCATGATGAAGATATTTTTATATTTATTTATCGACAAAGAGCTGTTCTAAAGCTGGAGGTCTACAGGTCATAGTTTTAAGACTATATCGTAATAAAAACCTTTGATGCGTTTAAAGCAATGTATCTCCGAATAATGAATGGGTCTTAATATTAAGTTCTCTTGTCTACTAAGCCCAGTATAGTTGTTGTTATAAGGGCATAAAACATCGTCAAATAGTTTTGGAAAATGCTTTCGGAGCTGAAAGTTGTAGACTGGTTAAAAATCTTTAACTCCCCAGATTTCTAGTTCAACAGGCTGTCAGGATGGTTATAAAATCACTACTTCTTTACATTCTTATTTAGAAACTGAAGTCCATCTGGTATCGCAAAGGGCCAAAAGTAGTCTATGCGTGGCTTACTGGCCTACCATATTAACCTAACCTTAGCTAACCGATATTTTTATTCAAAATTTTGCTAAGCTCGCTACACTGTAACGATCGACAATACACCCCGTTTGGCGCAATCAGAAGGCTCGCCGACACACACACCGCACTCAAGGCAACATAATCGATTCGGCATCGCTTTGTCACATCATAATTCATACTAATTATCATTTATTTGATCTATCGACGAATAATCATGTTTATAAATGATTTCAATTGATTGCGCCAATTTCCACAATGTTCGCAAATCAATCAAGAGATTTATGCGATTCAATGCAATGATTATTGCCGACGGTCAGTGGCGGTTACTACCGGTTTTCTGTGAGGAAAACAAATCGTCAGAGTTGCATTTTATAGATTTTTATTTATTATTTATTTATTAAATTAATTTTGTATTACAGGTAAACTTCCGGCTCAGCCTTCAGATATAATTATGTTTGTACATATAACTACATACATACATACATATATAGTATATGCATAAAACAACAACAAACGCATTTTAATTTTGTAGAGCACGAAAGTTCGGCCTGGCTTTCTAGCGCTTCATCAGTTGATACATATATACATAAATATTTTCACACACTCGTATGTGTATATAAATATATGTGGACAGTTGTTTTACAGTTATACACATATTGAAGCATTAATCAAACAACAACTCAGACATCACATCACACATCCATTCATAATACATAATAACATCCTTGCGTACGATATCCTTGCCAGTGTGTGGATTATTTCATTTGCAGATCCTTGATTATTTTGTGAAATATTTTTGTAATTTTCTTTTTGTTTTTGTTCAAATTAGACTTCATATTTCTTTACATTGATATCTACCTGCCGTTTACGTCGCCTCTCACTCGTATAATAGTAGAGATTCTCATTGTAGTCCTCGGCGCCAACAACCGGTTGATAGATCAAATTCTTGCAGCCGGTATTGCCAAGTACATTGTGTTGATATAGAGCGCTGAGTAGTAGGAAAAAGGGAAGGAAAGAGAAGTTAATTGTTTAGATTCAGTTCAGCAACACTTAAGTATATACGAGTATACCATAAATGGTATATGTATTATGATTGTCTAAACGCAAAGGGAATAAAGCGATAAGGAATAAAAAAACGATGAAATTTTCTAGATATTGCTGATCTTCTGAATGTGGAAACCTCAAAATTAATAAAAGAAGAACTAGAGCAACTTGTCTTCACATCTCTTCAGACCTTGTCGACCCTCAACCCAGAGATTTTGGTGATTGAATGTGAAAATCTCAACACGAATCAAAGAAAAGCTAAAGGAATTTCACATGTATGTCTCTTCAGACCTTGTCGACCCTTAACCCAGAATCCTTGGTGACATGAAAAATATTCTCACGAAGTCTACAGGAACTTCCCGTTTACGTCTGCTCAGATCTTGTCAACCCTAAACAAAGGGACCTTGGTGATATGAATGATATTCCCACATAGCCTACTTATAGTTATAATATATAATACATATTAGAACTTCAACTACCAAAGTATTGTCATTATATATCGTACTATATACTATACATATGTATATCGTTTTATTGATATTTAGATATAGCTTTTTTATGCTCTAGCTGTATTTTTTTTTTTTTTTTTCTTTTTGGAATGGAATCCACAAACAGCCAGAAAAATGGGAGTCTTATAGCTATAGGACGGAGAATATAAACGCTTGTCCATTTTCCGATATAATAACTATTGACCCTTGTTGCAATACCGGTAAAAGCTATATGGTAAACAGAGGCTGGAAAGTTTTACCTCTTCCGCCGTATGGTCTACACTCTGATGCTGAGCCCCATCACTAGAATACGGTTCACATCAGAACAGGTTATCAAAAATTAGTTTGATTCATTCTTGGCCGTCAAGGCAGCGAAGTCATTTAAGGATGGAATCCACAAACAGCCAGAAAGATGAGGATCTCATAGCTTCAGACCGGCAATGCCTTGAACATTAATATTGCGCATGATTTTCTTAAATAAAACCTTACGACTATAGTCTGAGCTCTATATTAAGTAGAAGCAGCAATAAATTTTCTGAAGAACCTGATTACCCGTTGTGATAAGTTGGGTCAGACAACTAACGCTTACGGTATCTGATTGAAGTGGAAACCTTAGATATAAATGTAACTCTAGTATCGCTTAGTTTTAAACCGTATTCAATCAAGAGGATCATACACACTTACATTGTTTGCTTCAGTCGCGCGATCTCCTCCTCCATACGGCCGATCTTCTCTTCTTGCTTCACACGCAACATCTGACTACGCTCATTACTCTCCTCCAACAGTTTGATCATATGCTCCTGACGCGACAGCTCCATTTGTTTGTTGCTCAAGGTGTTGAAGAGATTTTGGAATTCTTCCGATTTTGTGCGCAAATCATTATTTAACTACAAGCAATGTGTGAACGAAAAAGAAAACAATATGCATGAAATATGTGAAGACCTTTATGTCAGT